AAATAGCAAATAAACATACAAAGTGATGCAACTTCACCAATAATTGAAGAAATACAAATTGAGTTTATATTTTTCCCCATACAGCAAAGATTAGGAAGATTGAATGTCACTGGGTATGCAGTAAAATAATCATTTTTATACACTGTAGGAATGTGAATGTGACCTCATTTAACCTTTTTCTGAAAACAATTTGGCAATGTTTCTCAAATATTTTCAGTATTCATATATTTTATCTTAACACTTCTATTTCTAGAATTTACCCTACAAAAATTACTTTCTTTACTACAGCTTACTGTCTTGTACAAGGAATCAAAGACACAGGTACAAAGACATTTGTTCCAGAAGGATTTGTAACAGTAAAAGACTAGAAACACCTATCAAAAGTGAATATGGCTTTGTTGTATTATAGTACATCCATATAAACAATACTGTCATTTAAAAAATGAGATACATCTCTATATACCAATAGCAGAGGTACAAGGAAATAAACTACCATGTAAAAATACATATGAAAAAACGTGCTAGACTTATCTCAAGAACCTTCTTTTGGTCTATCTCTTAATTGTATTGCATAGTAGTAAGATAATAAAACACTCTCAACTGTGATAACACATACTCTTTGTCCTTCATACTTACATAATGAATGTGAACAGTTTAGGTACTAAAAGAAAATGTCCTCCTATAATCACGTTAAGCCTCTGGATCAGTCTAACCGAAGCGTACACTGACAGAAAGCACAGTGTTTTAAAGATATTGTCAATTGCCAGTTAACAGTGGCTCACACCTGTAATCCCTGCACTTTGGGAGGTCAAGGCAGGTAGATCACTAGGTCAAGAGATTGAGATCATCCTGGCCAACACGGTGAAACCCTGTTTCTACTAAAAACACAGAAATTAGCTGGGAATGGTGGCATGTGCCCGCAGTCCCAGTTACTCGGGAGGCTGAGGCAGGAGAATCGCTTAAACCCAGGAAGCAGAGCTGCAGTGAGCTGAGATGGTGCCACTGCACTCCAGCCTGGCAACAGAGGGAGACTCCATCTCAAAAAAAAAAAGATATTGTCATTTGCAACTTAGCCACATGAATCAACACTTTCTTAATACTATTAAAACAGAAACCAGAAATAAATTAGATGCTATGGCTAAAATAAGAGAATAGCTGATAAATCAATCTCAAATTTTTAGTGTTCACTTTTTTTAAAAAGCTTGATTATTCTCACCAACTGATTTTATAAAAATTATTCAAATAATTACCAAGTTAGGATATGTACAGGCATCATTTCACTTAATCTTACTTAGAGAAATTAAGTAATTTAGTCAAAGGTCCCACATACAGTAAGCTACAGTGCCAAGACAAATCCAAATCTAGAGAATTACACACATGGAACTTATAAAATATATTCTTTAACAAAAACACTACCATTTGTAAAATTCTTTATATTTGAATATATGATTATTAAAATTCTGTTAAATGTGGAAAGCTATAAATACTAATGGCTGGGAATGAAAAATACACACCTATCTGTCCAATATAACTGTTGGCCATCTTCAGAAATCCTTTCTATATAACTTGCCTTTTCATACTCTACTGAATGTACTTCTTGCTTTATTAAATAAACATCTTTCAGACAGGTAATCATATAACACTTAATTTTTACTGAAGAAATAAGATTTTATGTGCCCATCCTCAGACATTTTTCTAGGCACTTGGGATACAGCAGTGAACAAAACAGACACATTTCCTGCTTTTTAAGAGCTTGTTGAATTCTAGTGGCGTTTACCGCTCTATATGCAAATAAGCTTATGTAGGAAGATGGTTTTACTTTGAACCACCCAAGCTGTAATGCAGTGACACCATCAAAGCTTAGTGTAGCCATTAAGTCCTGTGTTCAAGTGAACCTCCTGCCTCAGCCTCCTGAGTAACTGGGACTATAGGCACAAGCTACCATGTCCAGAATTTTTAAATTTCTTTTTGCAGAAATGGGAGTCTTGCCATCTTCCCCAGGCTGGTCTTCAACTCCTGGGGTCAAGTGATCCTCTCATTTCAGCCTCTCAAAGTGATGAGGTTACAAGCAAGAGCACCAGAACCCAGCCAGGTCTAACTCTTAAGGTTCAAAGTGATAAATCAATAAACTTTATCTGGATAACAGTGAAAATAAAATGGAGAAGTATATGTTGGATTGACTACTAAGCAAAATTCTGCCAAGATTAACATAAAAATTGGGCCGGGCACGGTGACTCACGCCTACAAATCCCAACACTTTGGGAGGCCAAGGCAGATGGATAGCTTGAGGTCAGGAGCTTGAGACCAACCTGGCTAACGTGGTAAAACGCCATCTCTACTAAAATACAAAAATTAGCAGGGCATGGTGGCAGATTCCTGTCATCCCAGATACTAGGGAGGCTAAGGCAGGAGAACTGCTTAAACCCAGGAGGTGGAAGTTGCAGTGAGCCAAGATCGCACCACTGCAATCCAGCCTGGGTGACAGAGTGACACTCCATCTCAAAAAAAAAAAAAAAATTGTGCTTCACCTAGAAGCAATGAACCCTCTAAGAGAGCACGGAGAAAAACATTCTGCAATAATACTAGCTTGGTTGCTGAATTAAAACAAACAAAAATAAATAATAGGCTGGGCACGGTGGCTCAAGCCTGTAATCCCAGCACTTTGGGAGGCCGAGGTGGGTGGATCATGAGGTCAAGAGATCAAGACCATCCTGGTCAACATGGTGAAACCCCGTCTCTACTAAAAATACAAAAAATCAGCTGGGCATGGTGGCGCATGCCTGTAATCCCAGCTACTCAGGAGGCTGAGGCAGGAGAATTGCCTGAACCCAGGAGGCGGAGCTTGCGGTGAGCCGAGATCGCGCCATTGCACTCCAGCCTGGGCAACAAGAGCGAAACTCCGTCTCAAAAAAAAAAATAAATAAATAATAATAATAATAATAATAAAAAACAGAAAAACCTTTAATGTAAAGTATGTAGCTTATTTTTATAAAAGCTAAGAAAATGTTTTATAGTGAAATGAATATTAAAACTTCATTAACAAAACTCTTCAATCATCCTCTAGTATCTAGTAGAAAAAAAAAAACTTCATTAATAAAACTCATCATGGACAATTTCTTTATTCAAAGATAACACATAATTAAAATGCTTTTTGAAGAAATTCATATGACTAAAAAAGTAGAAGCTGCCAGAACACTGTGTAACTTTCTTTTTTGGAAACTGTAATCTTCTTTTGTGTTCTTTTGACTCTGAAATATCAAAATTTTAATGAAGATTTTTATTTGTCCTAAAGAGATTTTTTAAAACAATGAAAATTTCCTCAATGATTTTCACCATATTTTCTTTTTGAAAATTGTCTTTTATTTCTTCAGATTAATACCTGGTCATTTTTGTATGGTCTATTTTCTATTAAGAAATTCATAAACTGACCAGGTGCAATGGCTCATGCCTCTAATCCCAGGACTATGGAAGGACAAGGCAGGTGATCACTTAAGCAGGCATTCAGGACCAGGTTGGGCAACAGATCAAGACATTGTTTCTATTCTTTCAACACAATAGAAAAACTAAAAATAAAAAACAAGAAATTTATAAACTATGAGAACAAGGCAAAAAGTGATATAACTAATGTACTACAGTAAAAGAGCTACACATTCTTACAAAATATGACATTTTTATAAGTTAAAGTTGGTCCCTAAGAACAAAAAATTTCTATAAACACCTCAGTACTTTTCTCCAAGAAGTCAATATACACACTGCTACATGCATTATTTTTTTCTTCTTCAAATCTTAATATGTCATGTCAAACCCTGCTCCAGCAACATCCATTTTTTTTGTGCACACTATACCTTTTCTTAACCACAGGTTTCTAAGAAGTGTGCCATCATTACTGGAGTTGCTGCCAGAATCATGAATTTTCCTGTTCTCTCTCCTGGGAAGCAAACCGTATAGAGAAACACCTTAACTCCCTTTTGATCTAGCACTGACTGGATCTTGCTATTGTTTGGACTCTTAACTGACCTAATAAAAACAAAAAAATAATTCCACCATAGGCATTAAGTAACTTTGGGGGGAAAAAATGTTGCAAGTGCCACTTTGTGAAGCTACGATGTCGAGAGCTTTTTCTATTATCTCCTTTTGTTTTCAGTATATCTCATGAGAATTATTTTTAAAATCCGTATATTTTTAAATTATATTATTTCATCATAAGGAATTATCAACAGATTAACATTAAATTCTTTTATCTGGGTACATTTTAGTGCTTTTTAACAATCAAAATCTAGAAAATTTTATTCCAAATACATTTAACTCTATCTTGCAGTCTTAACTGTAAGACAGAATTACCACATTTTGTAACTGAAATAACGTTAAGCTAGAAATATGCCAAATGTTTTAACAGACAGTTAACAGAACAGAGCGCCACTTACTGGCTTTTAGTTATTATTCACAGAATACTTAAAAGAGAAACATAGCACAATTTCATTCTGAGATTGGTAATAAACTTTAATGGACTTATACCACTCTAAGAGTAGTAGAACAGCATCCCACTGAACATTCTAATAGCAAATTATTTTAGAATTACCTTTTAATGCTAAAACACAGCATCAGAAAACATCCATATAAATCAAGGGGAATTCATATAAATTAATACATCATTTAAACTGTAGGGCACGTGTTTATTTTCTCAACTTTCTAGCTCTAAACCAAATGTTTAGTTCTTCACTGGTCAGCTTTAAAAAACAATTCTCAACAACCCAGAACCTCAAATAAACTGTCCAAAAGACATAAAAATAAATAAGCTTAAAAAGCTAAATTTAGCAATTTAATTTGTACATATAAAAAAAGATTTAAAGTCATTTCAAACTCAACATTCCATTTTTGTGGGCATGACTGTCACTCATTTTAAACTTACATTTTTATGAATCAGCTAAGAACTTGATAATCATTTTACTTTGAAAGGCTAATACAGTATTCTAGTCAAGAAGGACATAAAGCTTAGTTACCTTGGTTTGGCTGCATATTCATATTTGGTCTGGGACCATAGTTTCCCATTGGCTGCCCTTGACTCATTGTCATCTGATTCTGTACTGGCATGCTCTGTGATGATGGCACGGAATGGTTGTAACCTCCCATGGATCCATGGCTACTTGAAGGCATATTCATGGAACTGTTTGTCATATTGAGTTGATTGGGTCCAGGTCCCTGCATAGGCATATGGTTAGGCCCTTTGAAGAAAAATGATCAGAAGCAAAATATGAAAATTAAATAGATGGTCCATACAAAAGTACCTGGAAAGTGTATTTTTTTTGCATTATTATAGTAATACCAAACAATAATTAATCAATGGCAAGGTAAATGGTTTACAGGAAAGACAGTAAATAATGCAAGGTAGTTATTCCCATTTTACAGATTAAGAAATGAATGTTTTTGAAAAGTCATGAGCACTCTGAAAATGAAGGGAGGACTGGCTTCTTTAAAAAACAGCGAAACATATCATAAGGTTGAAGTAATTAACTGTGAACATAGGCTGGGCGCAGTGGCTCATGCTTGGAATCCCAGCACTTTGGGAGGCCAAGGCAAGTGGATCACAAGGTCATGAGTTCAAGACCAGCCTGGCCAAGATGGTGAAACCCCATCTTTACTAAAAATACAAAAGTTAGGCAGGTGTGGTGGCAGGTGCCTATAATCCCAGCTACTTGGGAGGCCGAGGCAGGAGAATCACTTGAACCTGGGAGGCGGAGGTTGCAGTGAGCCAAGTTTGCGCCACGGCACTTCAGCCTGGGCAACAAGCAAGACTCTGTCTGAAAACAAAACAAAACTGTGAACATAATGAATAGATTAACAGATTGATTGACTAGAACAGAGTCTAAAAACAGACCCAAATACATGGCTGAGTAACTAGTAAGTATCAGTGAGCAATACAAAACTAATTTAGTAAATGGTGTTGTGACAACTCAGGAGCCATTTGGAAAAAAAACAAGTTGGATCACTGCCTCACTTCTTCCACTAACTAATTCTAGATGAACAGGAAACTTAAACCATAAAAGAACTTCAAAAAGGAGAATGTTAAAAATAATAATGGAAGGACTTTCTTAAGCAGGCCAGAAAACCCAGAGCTATAAAACACTTGAGAAATTATACTATATAAAATTTAAAAATCTGCACGACACAAAACTCAAAAATAATAAAAAGGTAAGAAAATGTTATTTATAAGACATATCACAGACCAAATTAATTACTTAACATATGAAGTAAAACACCACCACGAGTAAAAGGGGCAAAGGACATAATGACGGAATGCCTAGTTCACAAAAAGATTCATCAATATTAAAACATTGTTTCACTTAAAATAAGAAGGCAAATTAAAACTATGAGACCTAGCGTTCACCTTTCAGATTCTCAAAAATCAAGTTTAATCTAACTGTATTATGAAGAAAGAAGCACTTTCATCCATTGTTAAAGGAATATAAATCTTATTTATATTCCGTGGGGAATCAAGCTTATGGAATCAAGGGTGAGATCAAGCTTAAGGAAGACAAACAACAATTCAAAGGAAGTAGTTGTCCCTCAATATCTGTAGGAGGCTGGTTCCAGAGCCATCTACAGATTCCAAGATCCATAAATGCTCACTCATGTCCCTGACATAAAATGGTACAGTATTTCCATATAACTTATGTACATCCTCTCATTTACTTTAAATCCGTACATTGTATGTACTACCTAACATAACGTAAATGCTATGTAAATAGTTGTTATACTGCATTGTTTAAGGAATTATGAGCAAAAAAAGTATGTACATGTTCAGTACAGTTTTGTTTTTCCAAATATTTTCAATCCATGGATGTGAAATTCATAAATGCAGAAGTGATGGATATTACTATTTTTATACAAAGCAATTTGGCACTAACTATGAAATTTTAAAATACATATACCTTTAATGCAGCAATTACAGTTCCAGGAATTTATGCTATAGATATGCAAGTTTTTGAGTGCATGTGTAATGTCACACACACACAACATATATATGTGCATATTTATTTTTTACAGGCAAATTCATGGCAGTATAATTCACAATAACAAAAGACTTGAAGCCTACATTTCCACCATAAATGTTCAAATAAATTAAAGTTGTAAAACAGAACGTGATACAGAGACCAAAAAGAATAAGTTATCTATTTACATACAGAATAAAATAATTGTCTCCAAGATATATCTTTAAGAGAGAAAGAAAATATACATAATACTATTTAATGTGTGCTATCATTTGTATTTTTTTTTAAAGAATAAGGGGAAAAAAAGGTAAAAGAAATGTAGTACCCAGGGGCTGATGAGCAAAAAAGAAAATAGAAAAAGGTAATATAAATGCATTATTTTATACAGAGAAAATACCTCTTTTTTGAGACAGAGTTTCGCTCTTGCTGCCCAGGCTGCAGTGCAAAGGCATGATCCTACACGTCCTGGGTTCGAACAATTCTCCTGCCTCAGCCTCCCAAGTAGCTAGGATCACAGGTGTGCATCACCATGCCCAGTTAATTTTGTATTTTTAGTAGAGGTGGGGTTTTACCATGTTGGTCAGGCTGGTTTCAAACTCCTGACCTCAAGTGATCCACTCACCTCAGCCTCCCCAAGTGCTGGGATCCTGCAGGCAAGAGCCACCATGCCTGGCAAGAGAATTATCTCTTGAAGGACAACTAGAAACCAATGTCTCTCTGGAACTGTCTGGAGAGGTGGCAGCTAGGTATCCTTTGATACCCTTTGATTTTGGTCCCACAGGTATGTGTTACCTAGTTTTTAAAAAATCAATTAATATTTTTAGGCTGGGCACAGTGGCTCATACCTGCAATCCCAGCAATTTAAGAGGCCAAGGCGGATGGATCACCTGGGGTGAAGAATTTGAGAACAGCCTACCCAACATGGTGAAACCCTGTCTCTATTAAATAAACACAAAAATTAGTCATGTATGGTGGCAGGCATGTGTAATCCCAACTACTCAGGGGGCTGAGGCAGGACAATCACTTGAACTTAAGAGTCAGAGGTTGCAGTGAGCCAAGATCACACCATTGTACCCCAGCCAGGGCGACAAGAACGAAACTCTGTCTCAACAGCAAAAATTAATTTTTTAAAAAAGGAAACCTGAGACTGAAAAGTGATACAACCAAGATCAACAAGCACATAAGTGGCTCTAAAACTGAGTCTACATAATGAAATATACGTTAAAAACAAAACTGAAATAGGAAACAGCCAAGATGCAAATTTGTGTGCATAAAAAGGTTGGCTAAATGCTATAAGGAACAAATAAAGAAAATACAAGTTACTGGCCTTCCAATTTCTTCTATGCTTAACTCCCTTAACCATTGTTAGAAGAGATTCTTAACCATTGTTTTAGAAGCTCTATAGTATTCTAAACAACGTCGTAAGTGATTGATAATAATTAGCTTATAAAAGAATATAACTACTTCAGAAGGCCTTACCCAAAACCAAAATGTCATGTTAACCATAATTGTACTGCAGCTCAAATGCTTCTTTAGCCTTAAGCTTGAATGTTTTACGGGGAAGTTAGGTCAAAATCCTAATTTGAGGTGCCATCATAAAAAGTCACAAAATTCCTAACTAGCTAACCTGCACAGGCACTACCTTTGCAGTTCTAAAAATAGTGTGTCCTGGTGAATTAAATGTGGATTTGGCAAGAAACTTTCTCTTGACTACAGTATGATTATAAACTGGAAAGTACTTATGTCTTTATTCCTACCTCCATACTGGATGTGTGCCATTAGTGTTGTAAGCTTTTGCAGGAAATAGGAGACAGCCACTGAAACACCACTGCCCTCCTATAAGATCAGTCACACATCAATCTTCTATAAGCCAGGCTACCTTGCCTCTTTTACTCCGTGCGCTCTTGTTTCTTACTGCACCCATCATCCTTGGACACCAATGCTATCAATCAACACAATCAGCTAGAGAAAACAGTATCCTAAAGATGCTAATTACTAATTTTAATAATTGTTCTGTTATTTTATTTCCATTACTGCTAGGTGTATAATGCCTTCCTTTTGTTAATGAAAATAACTTTTCATTAACTTTTCTTAGAAAGTAAAAATATTCTGATACCTAACGCAGATAACATTCTACCAAAAATTATAGATATGGGTTGATATGACTGTTACAAAGAAAAAATAGTGTAAAGATACTTTCCAGATTAAAATTTCAAACCAGGAAAAGGTAACTAAATCAGCATCCAATTTCTTGAAAGATATCAACCTAGTGACCCCAAACTTAAAATTAACAAATAGAAAAGAGAACGGCTCAGTGTATAAATAATGTAAGAAAGTTTACGTTATTTTTCAGCTTTTAATTTTTGCTGTAAAATCGATTCCCATATTTATGTTATGCTATAAACATATGTATTCAAAAAATCTAGATTCGGCTTCAATAATATCAATGAGGAAATACTAAATATGATAGCATTTTAGAAACTGTTTCGTTTCTTTCCTCATGTGTTTTTCCCAGTGATACTGTTTCTGAGATCAATCAACATTTAAGTAAATAGAAACCCAGGGAAACATTATAATATCTTTTTTAAACAGACTTTAATTCTTAAGCCATGGTACAATGCCTTTTTTTCCAAAAAGCTTCTAAAGCCAACTGTATTGCAGTTTCAGACAGACTAAATTTAGCCAGTTCTGTTCATCAGAGGAATGCTGTGTGTCAGCTACATCAAAGCCCAAGGGCAGCCTGATAAACACTGAATACAGGTCACGTAGCTCTGTAGCTAACAAACTCTAAGAGAGCTTGTACTCGGGGGCATTCAAAGCAGTTTTGTCATCAACAATCTAGTATCCCTTGAGCTCCCATGTCGTTTCAGTTGCTAAGCAACTCTGGTGTTAATGTCTTAGAGGAGAAAAACTTACCAGGCATCTGGCCGTTCATCTGGTTCTGCATGTGTGGTGCAGGAGGACCCCCACCTACCATTCCATCTGAAGGCATGTTGTGAGAGCGTGGAGGGGGGGGAGGGCCACTCTGATTCATCCCTCCAGGACCCATAGGCATATTCTGTGTGGGTGGCTGAAAGAAGACAGTTTAGTAAAACAAGAGAAACAGACTAATATATTAAAGACACATAGGGTAAAACATTTGCCTGTGTTACTAAATTGCATAAGAACAAAAACACAAATGCATTTGAAATTCTCCTAATGCATTTTCATCATGAACATATTAACATCAGAGTAATATCCCCCAAAACTTTAAACCATATTTACTTTATAAAATCTCAATAGTAAAAATTAAAATGTTAATTTGCTATACAAAAAAATTATCATTTATTTATATATTAAGCATGTCTAATGTGTCTACTGTTATCTAAATTACATGAAAAAAATTAAGTGTCCTTTCATTATTGATGTATTAGACATATTTATTGTTAATGATGGATTTTACCTAAAAATGTACAGTAACAAAAAATGATGAAAGGACTCTTAAGTCCCAAGATGTGGCATATTTTACACTATTTCGGGGTGGGGGATAGTGGCAGCAGTGGAATGTTTTAAAACATGAAGACAACAGTTCAACATTTTTGTGCCAACTACTGCTATAGATTGGAAACATTACTGATGGTCTCCACGGGTACAGAGACAGCTGCCTCAAAAGGATGCCTTTGGCAAATTTCCTAATGAAATTTTGAAGAAAACCACTGACTAACCTTCAGAGTTCACAAAAGGGTGAAAGGAAAAACATAGATATAAGGTGGTCTGCAACACCTGGCTCCCTTCTTGGGGATATTTTGGTGGAGAAGGCAAATGGTTAGTTTCATTCCAAACCCCCATTTTTAATCCTGTAGGAGGAGAGGGAGGCATTATTCTTTAGGAATCTATTTCTGCCTTCTTTCTGTATTTTGATGTTCTAAATGTAATGTCCATTTCTGTAATATCAGTTGTTCTCTTTCTTCTACACTTAAAAATGGCCAGTCAGTTATTGTATGCCTTTCCATTTTGTGAACACGATTCTCTTTGGCACATTTTAACAGACATACGTTGTTCTTTGGCCATCACATTTAAATATTCAAACCTCCAAACAGTTAATAATCATTAACATTTACAGAAATAATCAAGTCTACTCTAACAGTACACATTTTAAAATCAGAATTTTAATTTCATCACTACTAAATCCAGATAACGGCTCTTTATAATTTTCTCTTAAATCCTCGTATTATTTCTCCAGCTTGTATTCTTTAAATGGTTAATAACCTTATTCATTTTTCACCAAAAAAAAAAAAAAAAAACCAAAAAATCAAATACCAAACACCTTTGAGTCACATTATCTTACTTTTAATCATCCTTATGTATCATCCTTCAAGCCTGGCTACCTTCCTCTGTCTGAAAACAGAAATCCTTCTTTCTATATTCTTGTCAAAATTTTCTGTTAAAAATTCACTTTCTCACTTTTTTTTTTTTTTTTTTTTTGAGATGGAGTCTCGCTCTGTCACTAGGCTGGTGTGCAGTGGCACGATCTTGGCTCGCTGCAACCTCCGCCTCCTGGATTCAAGCCATTCTCCTGCTTCAGCCTCCCAAGTAGCTGAGACTACAGGCACACACAACCATGGCCAGCTAATTTTTGTATTTTTAATAGAGATGGGGTTTCATCATGTTGGACAGGATAGTCTCAATCTCTTGACCTCATGATCTGCCCACCTCGGTCTCCCAAAGTGCTGGGATTACGGGCGTGAGCCACCAAGCCCGGCCTCATGTTCTCACTCTTAATAGTGACGTCATTTCTGGTAATTCACCTAATAAAACATCATTAGTTAGTGTTAACACCCTGCTAGAAGAATTTATATCAAACTAACCCTCTGTAAAGTCTAGACAAAAAGTAAAAACTGTTTGAAAGAACTGAAGAGTGACTTATACAAAGAGGAACAAAAGGAGTTACAACTCTTGAAAGAAGGAAAGCATATAAGACCAGCTCCACATTTAAGAAAACTAGTAGAAATAGCAGTTAGGAGGCTAAAGAGCCCAGCAGAGATTCCAGCTGCTGCTCACTACTACTATGGAGACAAAGATAGGAGCTAGGTAGGCCCCACCAAGTTAGAAGAGCCTTCATAAATAACTCCAGTTCTCTGTTGAGACTACAGAAGGGCCAGCCACTCCTTAGAATAAGGTCAAAATTGAAATAGATCAGCCCTAAAAAGTCTTATAATCAACCATTAATAGATTCAAGGTAACCTCCTAGTACTATACATACCAAAGGAAAACTTAATTCTCTTTGGAGCAAAATAACAAACCAGAGCTTCTATAATTGTTCGACCACAATGTCTGACTGCAAGGCTTTCTAAAAAAACAAAAATAAATGACCAACACCCACTACAATAGCTGCAGTTAACATAAAAATTAAAACTACAGAAAATAACAAGTGTTGGCAAGAATGTATAGAAACTGCAACTCTCATATATGCTAGTGGAAATGTAAAAGGGTACAGCCACTGTGGAAAAGAGTTTGACAATTCCTCAAGAACTTAAAGAGTTACCATATGACCTAGCAACTCCATTCCTGGTATACACTGAAAAGAACGGAAAACACACACTCACACAACATTTCTACACAAATGTTCACAGTGGCATTAGTCACAATAGTTAAAAACTGGAAAAAACTAAAATGTCCACCCACTGATGAATGGATAAACAAAATGTGGCATACGAATACAATGCAATATTATTCAGCCACAAAGAAGAAATATTACATGCTACAACATGGATGAACATTCAAAACATTATGCCAAGTGAAATAAGATAGACACATATGGCCACATACACTGTATGACTCTATTTATAAAAAATGTTTGTTCAGACTAGGTAAATTCAGAGAGAGAGAGTAGATTTGCTGTTGCCAGGGTATGGGCAGAGGGGCAGAACTGAGATTCACTGCCCACAGTTTTCACTTTATTAGGGTAGTGAAAACATTCTGAAATTAGATAGTTATGATGCTTATATAACTGTGAATACACTAAAAGCCACTGAATTGTGTTCTTTAAAATGGTTATAATGGTAAATTTTATTTTTTTTCTTTTTTTTTTGGGACGGAGTTTCGCTCTTGTTACCCAGGCTGGAGTGCAATGGCGCGATCTCGGCTCATCGCAACCTCCGCCTCCTGGGTTCGGGCAATTCTCCTGCCTCAGCCTCCTGAGTAGCTGGGATTACAGGCACGCGCCACCATGCCCAGCTAATTTTTTGTATTTTTTAGTAGAGACGGGGTTTCACCGTGTTGACCAGGATGGTCTCGATCTCTTGACCTCGTGATCCGCCCACCTCAGCCTCCCAAAGTGCTGGGATTACAGGCTTGAGCCACCGCGCCCGGCCAGTAAATTTTATATAAACAGTATCTCAATTAAAATTTTTCATCAGAAACGATGGAAAATGAAAATAAAAAAATGGAATTTCTGAAGTGTTAAGGAAAAAAAAAAATCAACCAACCAGCCTAGAATTCTACACTAAGAAAAACATACCTTCTAACATGAAGATAAAATAAAAAAAGGTTTAGTTGAACAAAAGTTAGGCAAACACTTGTTATAAGAGAACAAAATATATACTGTATCAAGCTAAAAGAAAATGGCCCCACATGGAAACACAAAACTGGACGAGTTACTTAGAGGAAAAGACAAATAAGAACATGTGAACAAATATAAATTAAGATTAGCATTTAAAATAACAGTAACAATGACTCTACTGGTTTAAACAAATGTAAAAAATGATAAAGTATAGGACAAGACTAACACAAAAGACAATAGGCTAGGCCAGGCAAGGTGGGTCATACCTGTAACTCCAGCACTTTGGGGAGGCCGAGGTGGGCAAATTACTTGAGACTAGGATATTAAGACCAGGCCAACATGATGAAACCCAATTTCTACTAAAAATACAAAAATTAGCAGGCGTGGTGGTGGGCACCTGTAATCCCAGCTACTTGGGAGGCTGAGGCAGGAGAATTGCTTGAGCCCAGAAGGCAGAGGTTATAGTGAGCTGAGATCACACCACTGCACTCCAGCCTGGGCAACAAAGCAAGCCTCTGTATTATTAAAAAAAAAAAAAAAAAAAAAAAAAAAAGATAGTAGGGTAAATGAAATCAAACTGTTATAAGGTTCTTGCATTTTTCAACAAGCGTTAAAATTATAAATTTAGACTAGAACCTAATAAACTAGCATTTTACTATTTTAATGAAGAATATTTTAATCTCTAGGACAACTACTTAAAAATACATGCACACACATTAAAGATGTATACTGTAAAATTACATGTAAAATCAAATAGAAAAAAATAATGCTTGATTAAAGAAAGTCAAGTAAGGAACAAATAGAAAACAAATATCTGCCTTGTAAGACATAAATCCTACTATATCATGTTCTACATTAAATGTAAATGGACCCTTCACTCTAATTAAATAACAAATACATTAGACTAGATTTCAAAACACACAACTATATTCTGTGTACAACAGAACTACTTTAAATTCAAGGCAACAGATATATTAAAAAAAATAAATGGAAAAAGGTATCACACAAATACTAATTAAAAGCATGATGATGTTGCCACGTTAATATTAAACAGGCGGCTTAAATTATTAGGTATAAAGAGAGATGCTTTGTTATGATAAAAGGTAAGTTCAACAGGAATGTTTAACAACCATAAATTTGTATACAACTCATAGCACGGCTTCAAATATCTATAAAGCAAAAAAAAAAATCTATAAAGCAAAACTTGACAAACTAAAAGGAAAAACAAAATAATCCAAAATAATGGTTGGCGATTTTAAGATATTTCTCTGAGTAATTTATAGAAGAAAAAAATCCTACGAATACAAAAAATTTGACATCATTAGTAACCAATTTGTTTCATCTAATTCGTATGTGTAGAATCCAACAACTTTTCAATACACATTCTTCTCAAGTACTCAAGGAATGTTGACTGAACAGAATCATATACTAGGTCACAAGGCAAGTTAATAAATATCAAAAGATTGAAACCATATAAAGTATACTTTCTGAGCACAGTGGAATTAAACTAGCAATCAGTAAAAAAATTA